ACTTTTTTCTCGAATTTTCTCAAAATGTACTGTAACTTGTGTATATGAGAATGGTGATCTGATGCGGTCGTTCTCCGAGGTGGTAATGGTTCGCAATGATCATAATCACCTCTCTATAAAGTGTTACTCGCGTGATATTAAATAGGTAACACCTATTCCCTGCAACTGATCGAACGCGCTTCGTCAGGGGTTGCGGAAATGACTCGTGAGAGAGGGGACGTTTGCTCTGTATGAATATATGAATTGAGCTGGTGAGACACCCTAGCAGTATACTATATCAGCATTCAGGATTACAGTGTAAGAAATTATATATCCCACAGATGTATTTTTTGATGAAACTGCTCTAGGTTAAGCACTGAGTTCTAGGTTAAGCACTGCACTCACTATGCTATCTACTAAGATAACTAAGAGCAGAGCTGTAAAGTTGAGGTTTAATACGCGAGTGCTGTAGACCTGCATACAGTAGTTAAAATAGAGTCAATTCATACCATGATTAATTCTGATTTACCCCGTCCCCCCCCCGGCCTAACACCTTTAGGAAGTGGTTATTTCTGGAAAACTTTTCTTTCTCAATTCAGTGACATTTGTATTGTGAGTACTACGGAAACAGCAGCGGCTTTGTTCAGATTAATATTTCAAAACTCAATTCCTTGTCCCCTAGATTTTTTTTATCTCTTTTTTGGATAAGGTTACTATGGCTTTTGGATCGGGGTCTCAGATGAGGCCGAGGAAGGGCAATGGCGCTGGGTTGACGGTTCGCCGCTGACCATGGGACTGCCTTACTGGGCAAATGTAAGGATACTGATTGGTAAATATTTAAAAGAAGTGCACGAACAAAAATAATAGGTAATATCAGAAATGCGTAGCCATATCAAATTTTGAAAACAACGGAAATTAAATGTTATCTATCGATGCTAGATGCCAGTTAGGTAATCACTAAAATATAGTGACCTTGTCAAGTAGTTTGTAATCGTAATTGTGGGCATTAAATTCACTTCTCAGCTAGGGTATTATGAAAATTAAATAAGTTCATCTTGCGTTCCAGAATTAACTGCAAAGAAAATTTTCTGGTCTCCCATGGACAAGATTGCGCGAATTTCTTTTGCCTGTTCAAGCAGCTACAAACCAAACTTATTTCATAATCAACAGTTTGCTTCATGGGAAATCTCTTCCGTTCTTCGTTGACAAAGAAAAAGCAGATTATGCACTGCATGATTTGATTTCATGATTTGATTTGCTCAAAGCTAAGCTGGTGACGTATGATAACCTAGGTGGTAATGGAAGATCACCGTACAGATGGTGATAGAAGATCACCGGACAGATGGTGATGGAAGATCACCGGGCATAAACGTTACGGAAATCTCGCTCCATTTTTCATTTTCTATTTAGAGAGTGACATGAGCCTTTGTCCGATTTTGACTTTCCTTGGCGGAAGTATTTCGACATTCAAAAGCAAAGAAAATTACACCATAATTTACTATTAAATAAAATGTTTTGGAGTCTAGCTCCATAGTCAATTAGAAATTTTAGAAAAAAGATCAGTTGCCAGTACAATTGAAAAAAAACAAGCTACAAATTAAATATACAGATAAAAGGCAATGAAAAGAACATGAAAAACCTGTCCATTCTAAATTTCAAGTGGACAAAAGCTAAAGGCTGTATTCAAACTATACCTCTTTTTGAAAATGCACAAGGATTCTAAAAAAATGTATTCAAAATCATCGGGTGGAAACTACAATCTTGGTCACAATTGGATATTGGCACGTCACACGTACGATGGCGTGACCACCGCGTGAGTGCGCACTGCGCACAGCTGAATTAGGTGGACGCGCTGTCAAATGGCCAGTTCTACAGCTACTCCCGTTGTGCTCCGCTTACCTGTATTAAAGATTGCGTGCTACCTACACGTTAAAACAAAGGCAAGCATATTTATTGTCCAATGAAGGATTTCGACGATTAGAACCATCTTCTTTGTTCAAAGTGGTACCTACATAGCTGAAGTAATTACTTCAGGTAAGATTATTGAGTTTTAAACTCAAATTACATCATTTTATTTTCACTGAAGCAGACGTAATCTGACTATATTACAAATACTGATGTTTGAGTCGGGATTGACAATTGATCAGAAGTTTAGTAGCGCGGATCCTGTGGTTTGGCTCTTAACAGTGTTGAGAGAGCGCTCGAGTTTGTCATAACTTGCAAGTTTCATCGCCAAATGAAATTTCAATTAATTTAACATTAAATTATTTGTGGAAAAATCAATAAATCGAATTTTAAAATGTGTATTTCCGATATTTAATACTCTCTCAACCCAAGTCTTGTTAACTTGTAACTGTATACTCCAACGAACTGTGAACTCCATAGTTTACAACTGTGAACTCCAATGAAGTATATAACGTATATGCCCCTAGTGTTTATTGTTTTTGAAGAACATGAAGCTATTGACGGATGCTGTATGGCACTGTTAATGTCAGCACTGTGTTTACGAAGCAGCTGGCACTCTGCCTGTCATTGAGAAATTTATTGGAAAATTTTGATTGCGGATGCGACATCCACCGTGGCACTGGCCCGCATGGATGAAACTGACTGGATGAAACTCGGTGACTGATGAAACTGAAGCTTTTATTGCTCCCGAATAAACCTCGGAATTAGAATTCAATTTTTCAATCAGCTGCACACACGACAATCGTAAGAGAACTTATCATCAGTATCTTACAGGACACCGCGTATACGCCAAGCCATATTAACTAAGCATAGTAAGAGTTACAGGCGAAAGGCTGAGTTTATCAATTTTGCTAAAGTAATTAAAAATAAATTCATTGTAAAAAAGCTATTAGCAACAACACTGCCAAATCTTGTCTCACAATTGATTTTCACCCGAAATATTTTGTTTTCCTTCATGCTGATTTAGTTCGCTTTTTATCACCATAACGGAGAGTGCGGTCGATGCATATTACCGCCAAAAATTCTCTCTCGTTCCAGAAAACAAATTTTCGTGTGAGCAACTGATTGAAAAATTAAATTGTAATTTCGAGGTTTATTCGGGAGCAATAAAAGCTTCAGTTTCATCAGTCACCGAGGCGGCATCCAAGCGGGCCAGTGCCACGGTGGATGTCGCATCCGCAATCGAAATTTTCCAGTAAATTTCTCAATGACAGGCAGAGTGCCAGCTGCTTCGCAAACACAGTGTCGACATTAACATATCAAACATCATCCGTCAACCGCTTCACGTTCTTCAAACACAATGCAAACTACGGGCATACATGTTATGCAGTTCATAGGAGTTTTCAGTTGTTAAGTTAACAAGACTTAGGTTAGAGTATTAAATGGCTGTGCTACACATTTAAAATCCGATTTATTGATTTTGATATTGATTTGTTATTTATTTATTTGTTATCTAACAAGACTTAGGTTAGAGTATTAAATGGCTGTGCTACACATTTAAAATCCGATTTATTGATTATTGATATTGATTAATTTATTGTTGAATCAATTTGAAATTTAATTTGACGATGAAACTTGCAAGTTCTGACAAACTCGAGCACTCTCTCAACAATGTTTAGAGCCAAGCCACAGTATCCATGCTACTAAACTTCTGATCAATTGTCATTCCCGACTCAAACATCAGTCTTTGTAATATAGTCAGATTACGAAAACAATACTAGATTGTATGCAAGTCTGCACCAATGAAAAAAATGCTATAATAATGGTTTAGAACTCATTAATCTTATCTGAATTAATTACTTCAGCTATGTACCACTTTGACCAAATAATCATCGAAATCCTTCATTGGACAATAAATATGCTTGCCTTTAATTGTTTTAACGTGTAGGTAGCACGCAATCTTTTATCCAGGAAAGCGGAGCACAAAGGGAGTAGTTGTAGAACTGGCCATTTAACAGCGCGTCCCCCTAATTCAGCTGTGCGCAGTGCGCACTCACGCGGCAGTCACGACCATCGTACGTGTGACGTGCCAATATTCTATAGTGACTAAGATTTTAGTTTCCACCTTTGATGATTTTGAATACGTTTTATTAGAATCCTTGTCTATTTTCAAGAAGAGGTATAGTTTGAATACAGCCTTTAGCTTTTGACCACTAGAAATTTAGAATCGACAGGTTTTTCATGTTGTTTTCATTGCCTTTTATCTGTACATTTAACTTTTAGCTCGTTGTTTTTATTTCAATTGTACTGACAACTGATATTTTTTCTAAAAATTTCTAATTGACGATGGAGCTGGACTACAAAACAGTTTATTTAAAGATGTGGTGAATTATGGTGTAAATTTTTTTTGCTCTTGAATGTCGAAATACTTCCTCCAAGGAGAGTCAAAATCGGACAAAGGCTTATATCGCTCTCTAAATAGGAAATGAAAAATGGAATGAGTTTTCCGTAACCTTTATGTCCAGTGATCTTCTATCACCATCTGTCCGGTAATCTTCTATCACCATCTGTCCAGTGATCTTCTATCACCACCTACGTTATCATACGTCACCAGCTTAGCTTGTTCTGTACCCACATGGTAGAGTCACGCTCAGTGACGTCATCCCTGTTAATGACTATATATAGCCCGGTCAGTGCACCGCTCGTCAGTTGTAGCGGCACCTGTCTCTTATACACATCTAGATGTGTATAAGAGACAGTTCTATCCCTGTGCCGGGAAACTCGGAGAGTATCTCCATTCCTGAGACGGCCCCGACACCTTCAATGCCCATGGTGTAATCGCTCCCGGTTAATAGCGCTAAAGTTATGAGCTTTTCTCGATCTAACCCGAACTGAGTTCGAATGTTATCCAACTTGTATAGCTCAACGTGCTGACTTTGATTGAAAAAATTTTTGTAGACGTGCTTACTACCGAAAAGAAAAGCATCCGAGTCATCGGTTATGGTACCATTCGTAAGCTTGACGTCGTCAAGGAATGCACATTGAGCTTCTGCTTCCATAGGTGCCACTATGTAAGGCCTGTCTCTTATACACATCTANCCCAGCAGGCATCTGACGTTGAAACAACGTTGATTGCCCTTCCTCGGCCTCATCTGAGACCCCGATCCAAAAATCATAGTAACCTTATCCAAAAAAGAGATAAAAAAATCTAAGGGACAAGGAATTGAGTTTTGAAATATTAATCTGAACAAAGCCGCTGCTGTTTCCGTAGTACTCACGATACAAATGTCACTGAATTGAGAAAGAGAAGTTTTCCAGAAATAACCACTTCCTAAAGGTGTTAGGCCGGGGGAGGGACGGGGTAAATCAGAATTAATCATGGTATGAATTGACTCTATTTTAACCTACTGTATGCAGGTCTACAGTACTCGCGTATTAAACCTCAACTTTACAGCTCTGCTCTTAGTTATCTTAGTAGATAGCATAGTGAGTGCATCGCCACAATCTGCATAAACAGCTTAACATTAATCTGCACAATCTTACTGATCATTTACCCCGAATATTGCTGGGCAATATTCGGGATAAATGAATTGACCAATTACCCTCAAAAAAAGCCTGTCCGCATTCACAATTTTATTACGAATCTTGGCCATCAAAAATTGAGAAATGTCTTTCGATCAAATACCTGACCATTTGCCCTGAATCTTGACAATCAAAATCAAGGGTTAATGACCATTTACCCTTATTGACCGAGCACTTTTTAACCGAGAACTTAGAACTTAACCTAGAGCAGTTGTCGGAAAAAATACATCTGTGGGATATATAATTTCTTACAGAACGAAATTTTCAGTTATTTGGTGAGATCTAAAAATGCAATAAAATAAGAGCAAAGAGCTCTTCTCGTTAGAACATTAGAAACCGAGTCGAAGTTAATTTCGTTAATAACTAAACAAGAATTGAGAAGATTAGGTAATAAACCTAATTTCAAAGGATTCAAAATGTTCTCGGAGAATCTGATAGCCTGTCATATGCAAAAACAAAAACTAAAGTTAAAGATAAACCTATCTATGTAGGGATGAGCGTACCAGATATAAGTCAGACATTGATGTATTACTTTCATTACAACTCCATTAGAGAAAAATATGGCGATAGAGCAAAGCTCCTGTTGACTGTTACAGACTCGTTCTGCTATGACATTCGAACCGATGACTTCTTTGAAGATATGAAGGATAATCAAGACTTATTTGACACCCCGAATTATCCTTAATTAATTATTAAGGATCATTTCCTATATTAAAATCAGAACAAAAAATAAATCGGTAAAATGAAAGATGAAACTAGTGGCATTCCCATAGAAGAAGTTGTAGGTCTTCGAGCGAAGCTGCATTGTTATCAAACAAAATATTCTGTAGCTAAAAAAGCTAAAGGTATAAAGAGAAATGTTATTGAAAGGAATACAACCATGGATGAATATGGATGAGAGCATTGAATAATGAGGCTATATATAAAATGATGAATAATATCCAAAGTGATAATCATGAATTGTATACGAAAGAAATTGATAAAATTGCACTGAATGGTGACAATGGTAAAAGACATATATTAGCAGACGGTATTAATAAGCTAGCATTAAACCACTGTAATGCAAGCTGATTGAAGTCTTTATGAATTAATCTAATAAAAATGATAGTCTACAATAAAATAACATTAATAAATTATTCTGAGCTACTATCAACCGATAATAGAGAACATTTAAACCAGCTGAAATCATTTATTCGTAATGAGAAAACTGGGAGGGGAATTTTTAACACGATGTTAATTAAATTACCACTGCCAGAAATGAATTTTAAAATTACCCTTCAACATTCAATTTGAGCAAGTTTCCAACGGTTCTTTCGATGATAAACATACCTACTCCTTCTGTGGCCACGGCACTAAGGTGCAAAAAAATTAAATGAAGGTTTTAAGGGAGTTAATTCATTGGATAGAGCTTGTAGAGAGCATTCTATAGCGAGCATAAAAAAAAACTAATGATATAAACAAGTTTGATGATTTCCTAAAGAAACAAGCGGCTGAAATTGCGATAGATCCTATAGTGACCCTGAATAAGTTAGAACTTATGCAAAATTAGTTAATGCCATAATGGCTGGAAAAAGTTGTAGGTTTTGGAGTATCAAAGAGCGTCTATAAGTCCACTCACAGAAATGAGTGGTAAAATTGTAAATCAAATATATTACGATCCTAAAACCGGCGACGTAGGGATAAATGAACTCGTTCGTAGAAGTGGTTTATCTCGTAAGCAAGTCACGAATTGTTTGGATTCTCACGAAGCATACACTTTACGTAAACCAATAAAATATAATAAATATTTATCACAAGAAGAGTTAAAGCAACAAAGATTGATGATCAGTGGCAGGCAGATTTTGTTGACATGCAGAAGTATACAGATAAAAATAAAAACTACATTCTAACTGTGATTGACATCTTTATGAAACGTGCATGGGCAGTTCCTATACGCAGAAAAACTGGTGGAGAGATTAAAACCTCTTTCTAAACGCTTTTCCGCAAAAATTCAAAGGTCTAGAGTTCATTAACACAGGAGTTATTAAAAAAATTAAATTGAATTGAAGCTCAAGTTGCTAATAGATTTAACTGGACTCTCATGACAAAAATGTGGAAATATTGCACGTACGTATGGGCAAAAATGTGGGTAGATATTTTACCAGATTTAGTTGATAATTATAACAACAGTTATCATCGATTAATAAAAATGACTACTCGTGAAGCTGCAATGGAACAGAACAGTAAAATAGTCTATGCAAATTGATTCCCCGTGATAAAGACGGTAGTGAGAGAGCGTAAATTGAAAATTGGAGATCGCGTCTGAATTTGTCAAAAACGTAAGGATTTTAATAAAAGATATCTCCCTAATTTCACACGTGAGTTATTTAGAACCTCTAAACTATTAGAGACGAAACTAGTAACTTATAGGCTGAAAGATATGAGCGGTGAAGAAGTAATAGGGAGTTTTGACGAAGAAGAATTAACAAAGTAAAGTAGCGATGTTTATGAATTGATAAAATTTTGAAAAAGAGTAAAGGGAAATTGTTAGTTAAATGGAAGTGATATGATGACCCATCTTGGATTCCAGAAGCTGAACTAACATCGAGTTAAACTGAAATTAGGTTAAACACACATTAAGTTCAAAATGAACACATATTGACTCCAAAATGAACACACATTGAGTTCAAAATAAACAGACATTGAGTTCAATTTGTTTGAAATATTTTCCATAAAAAATGACGCTAACTGATATAAAAGCAAAACAAGATTCGATGATATTAAAGAGAGACTTAAGAAAACAATTCAGGCAAGAAAAGTGTACGGAACAAGATTTATACAATGATGCTAAAAAAGTTTATAAGCCTCTGATATAACCTCTCATCAAGACGGTAGAAGAAACTAAGCAAACATGGTTAGCTCTGAAAGATACTCCCATTAAATTATTAATAATCAAACCTGTTGAAAGATTGGCCTTAAATCCTCCAGATTCGGAAGGACCCGACTCGAAGGAACTAGTTGGTTCAACAGCTCAAACTTTTTTAAGTCTAGCCTTCAAACCTGCATCTGAGTATGGTGAAGCTTATGGCCTAAAATTTCATGGGAAAACGCTATGCTAGGAGATACAATTGTCAGCATCTAAGGTAATGATTTAAGGACTGGTAATAAAGTTTTTGAGGGAACTGTTGGGTAATGGGAGCTAGTAACAAAACAATCCCCTTTATGAAGAAACTGATGTTGCAAATTACCTAACAATTCTGAGAGAGACTAAGGCTCATCTCAAGCCGGATGTGACAATAAAAGCAAACAAAGGAGAGAAGTATAAAAAATGTCTCAAACCACTCTGTTAGGTGATGCAAAAAGAAAAGGCGCGTTATGAAGTTGCTAGAATTAGAGCTGCAAGTCCCGCATCGTCTAGGGATCAAACACAGGAATCAAGACCGAATACTGCTTCAGATGTTTCAGGATCAGGAATAATAGTTATACCTTCTAACTTTAATAATATTGTTGCAAGGCATCACTTATTATTTGGCTATCTGAATGCTGGAAACTCAGGAGTCTTTAAGGGGAGCGTCTAGGGTAAAATTTATCTCGGCTATTTACGAACGGATCACTCTGAAACTTGGTACACGTATGTAAAATAGAATTCTAAGACATTTTTGTTCGTGTAAATTTTTCGAAAAAATGAAAGACAACGTGAAATTCTTAGAAAACGGCCAAAAAAGGGGGTACCGTAGAAATCTATCTCCTCCTAGGATTTTCAAGCTACAACATTGAGACACATATCATTCGATGCGTAAAGACCATATCTAAAACGCAACACGAGGGTTTTTAGGATTTCTCATTTTTGTGGGTGTGGGAGCATTTTTCGTAAATTTTTCGAAAATTTTTCGATTATCCCCCCCGCCACCCCCCCTTTTGCGGAATAAAATCCAAACTATAACGAAATTAATTAAGTAATTATTTAATTAATTAATTATTTAATTAATTAATGAGCGATTGTTACGTTCTAGATAATTTTGTTGCGCATCGAATGGTATATGTCTCATTGTTGTAGCTTAAAAACTCTAGGAGGAGATAGGTTTGCAGTGACAATAAGTTAACTTTTCAGTAGAGCCCGTCAAAGTCCCGCGCGCATCGGAATAGGCACTCCATGTAGCAAGGATACAAAACTAAACGTTACTGGAGCTTGATTCCAGTCAAGGATGGTGAGAGCGACTGCATGCACACCTCCTCATACGACGCCAGGCGGGTAACTAAGGTGCACTTCAAGCAGACACTCTATTTAAAGTGCTCGCAGCGAATTTCCTCCCATTCTATTTGTTAAAGAACTACCCCACCCCCCTCCCTTTCATGATCTGTCGTGAACGCATAAATCAACGTACAGAGATGGTTTTGGTACCGTTGGATAGATCAGAATGTCAGCTTTAAGATGAGACTAAAAACCGGAAAAGCCGAAATCCAAAATTTTACCCTAGACGCTCCCCTTAAGGAATTGCAGGCACTCGCTCATGAACTTTATAAACGAAATTTACTTAATGATCATGACGTTAAACTATTGAATGATTTTTTTAAGAAATTGGAATCGCAAAGCATCGTTACTACCGTTAGAAAAAGTGATATTTACACGAATTTCATGCCAGCAAGAAAATTGGATACAAACAAATTTCATTAACTGGCATTGGTGGGACTGGATAAGTATCACTCTATCCCGAATATTGATGAGACAAATAATAAATTTTACAAAGGAACATATGATCTACTAACTCACATAACAATACCGACCGGATGCTATGGGATAGACTCGAGAGTATCAATAAGTTTGTTAAAAATGCACTCAGAAACGAATGTGCAATTGAAATAAAAAGCGAACACCAATACTCTGAAATGTGTTATAACTATTCGTAATCCTAATATAAAAATTTATTTCGATACACTCAACAGTTTACATACTCTGTTAGGTTTTGATGATACAGTGTTGGAAGGTGATGGAGAAAATGAGAGCACAGATATAGTAAATATAATATCTGTTAATGCAGCACTTGTTCACTGCAGTATAATCAATCATAAATATATATAATCAATTCATAAAGTGGAAACTCATGATTATGAGCCTCTTGGAACTGATTTAAATAGTGTACACAATGATATCAAGATTGTTATTTAGAATCAAAATAAGTTTCTACTACCATAAGACAGTTGCCTTTACATCGAAGGGGCTTTAACGGAAGTGGATGGTAGTAATTATAACTTCAGAGATGATAAATATCAATTATCGATATTGTCTGATGTATTTATTCGATCGAGTATCTCATGGAATCGGAAATTTGGGAATTGAGGGCTATAACTATCTTCGAATTGCTACAACTCTGAAAGGATTGACAACATATCAACGAAGCTCCAAAGAAAATATGATGTTCTTTTGGAGAATTGACACGATGAAAAATGAAAAATCGAATGATGGATTCAATGAACATAGCAATTATTAAGGAGCCGCTGATGGTCAATTTAATGATACAATTGTGACGATCCAAGTAACCAAAATAAAGTTGCAGATGGTAAAATTACTACTAAAAGACTAATTTGGAAAATGACAGCCTACTAACTCTCTGATGAGTATAAGATTAAATTATATGATCATATAAAAGATAAAAATTCGATTGTCAATTGCAAACATTAATTGAAAATTGAGAAACAAGTAATGAGTTCTAATCAAAAGTTCTTGGATGGACTCTTTCATCAAGTTCGGGAACTCAAAGACCTCGTTATGTCCTTTTAACATTTCAAACTGGTAGAGATGATTTACAACTATCAAATAATGCACTATTAGATCGCTGTGATACAAAGAATGCATATATCCAGCTAAATAAATATGCATATATCCAGCTAAGCAAAACCTAACAATTGATTTTGATAGTAACAATTATTCGTAGTTGTGCGGACAAATTGTGCGATTGCATACGAGATTATAGGTTTTTTAATCCGATTTTCATATTTGATAGCAGTCAAGAATTCATAAATGCATATTGAAGAAAATTTGAAATTGATTTTTAAAGCTGATGAGGAGATCCATAGAGTACAGTTAGCTTTTGAAGATTTAGTAAATGAAAAGCTGAAAACTTCAGAATTGCAAATTCATAACCTCGAGGTACAAATTGAGGGAAAAGTATCTTTTACTGTAGTTGATCAGAAATTCAAAAGCTTGAACTAAAATTAGCTTCAATTAATGATGTAAAATTTAGTAACATAACAGAACAAGTCATGGAGTTACAAGCGGGGTCAGTTTCGCAGTCAAAAAATGAAGATATTATTAATAATATGAAGGATATTAAAATGATAATTCATTAGTTAAATCAGAATGAAATTAATCAACCTAAATTGATGCTACAAAATGAGACTGATAAAAACAGAGAAATGAACCAAATATTAACTGATCGTATGAATAATCTTGTAGCTTCATGAGTTTGGGAAAGTCTGTAGGCTTTTGAAGTTTTACTTTATTAAAATGATTGGTGTTAATATATTTGGAACAGGAATTAATATCACACCCATATCACATCAGAGAGGTCCTCCAGGTATTGGCTTTCAGGACCTTGACGCTGAAAAAAATGTTATCTGAATAATCGGAGACTTGTAAATATCTCTTGTCCAATTGAGGAAAAGGATGATGCATGCAAGAGTTATGTTGATGAGGAGGTCGTAAAAGTCTCAGATGTTCATGTAAAGGATTCGGAAGGGACCGTTCAAAAATAGATGTAGTGAAGGAGGGTCTCATGTTGCATATCAACTTTCTCGAGAAAGAATTGCCTGCAGTAAAATCAATAGTAGAAATTCTCGATGGAATAGCAACGAAGGAAAAGACAGATCTTTACAAAAAGTAACCCAATAAATGATTGAGGTAAAACAGAATTGGAAAACCTTGGTGAGAAATTAACTCGGGAAATGATTGAAGTAAGATCAAAATGGAGATAACAAATGAATAATTCGCAATCCCTCGATGAAAAAGTATCATCATTATACCGGAATTCAAGTTGAATTAAAGGCATGTTATTGATGGCCTTGAAACAAGATCAGATAATAACATGAATAAAGTAGCAGAAAGAGTGAGAAAGCAGGATGAGTTTTATGACCGACTTGCAGAAGTTGAGGATATTAGACCAAGCGTTCACTAGAGAACTTTACTGCGATTTTGGGAAAATATTAATATTAAATTAAGTTAATAAATTCATCAAATGCATTTATTATTTTGGTTAATAAAAATGAGAGCTAATGTACAATATGAAATAAATGACAAAAAAGATTGATATATCACTCTTGACAAAATAAATTAGAACAAACATTGAAAAAGATTTTAGAAATAAAACTTTTAAAATGCTCTATAAGTAGAAAGACGATAATAAAAATAAACAGAAAAAACATTTTCTATTTCTTTCTCCAAGTTTGAGGTGTCTCATAATTGGAAGATCGAACTGTGGAAAAACATCATTTCTACTGAATTTGCTATTGGAGAACTCTATTAATTCCAACAATCTTTTCCTGTATAGCAAGTCAACTCATCAGCCTGAATATAAGTTGTTGAAGAACGCTTTTGATAAGGGATAAAATAAATCTGAAATCATTGATTTATTTTCTGATTGCAATGGCACTAATGATGAATATCTTGAAAACCTACCTAAAAGACGTCAACAAAAATGTGCTATCGAAATTTTTGAGAATACTGCTTCAGTATACCTGATCCAAGTGATATAGAACCAGGGATGAAGAATATGTTAATTTTTGATGATCTTGCTGCGGAAAAGAATCAAAATCCTGCTGATAGTTTTTACACCCGTGAAAGACATAATCACTGTAGTTCAATTTAATTATCCTAAAACTAACACATATTATAAAAACAAACCATCAGAACGAATTCAAGTTTATTAATTCTATTCGGGTTACCTTTCATCGAAATGAAGAATATTCATAGTGATTACATTGCTTTTAATATGCCCTTTGCAGAGTTTCAAGAACTATGTAATGAAACGTATAAAGTACCTTATAGCTTTGTGTTGATTAATGAAGATGAGCATCCCGGTTCTTGGTCGTATTTAAAAATTTTAAATCAGTCATATATCCCACAGAAGTATTTTTTCTTACAACCACTTTTGGCTAAGCCCTGAGTTCTCGGTTAAAAAGTGCTCGGTCAATAAGGGTAAATGGTCGTTAACTTATGATTTTGATGGTCAAGATTCAGGGCAAATGGTCAGGTTTTTGATCGGAAGACATTGCTCAAATTTTTGATGGCCAAGATTCGAAATAAAATTGTGGGTAAATGATCAGGTTTTATTCGAGAGTAATTGGTTAATGTTGTTGGGCAATAATCGAGGTAAATGATCGGTAACATGTTAAGCTGTTTACGCAGATTGTGACGAGACACCCACTATGCTATCTACTTATATTAATTAAATTTATCCATGCAAGCATCGTCAGGGTTTGATAGGCAGTGTTTATTTTGAAAGATTGTAAATAACTTTTCAAACGGTTACCTTGTTCATCGAGGTAGAGGGCAACCTTGTGGTACTGATCGCAGTCGTCTACAACAAACAGATCCCCACCGACCAGTCCACACTGGTTACGAGACTCGTGCCAGGTGTATATTTCACTGATTATGTGAACACACTGAGTGCCAACCAAAACAAAAGGGTGCACGCAGAGACCTGCAGTAGAATACATATCCATAAGGCTAAATGTTGTAAGAATGAAAGATATTAGATTATTAATTTAAACTTGGAAGCTGGATATTAGCTGATGAAGTCATTGCATAAGAGATTAGCTCTGCTTTGTTAGGGTCCCGCCATTCGTGCGTTTAATATGACTTTACCAAATATATTTCAAGACTCTACATGCTGCTCAACTGCAGTGTTCATCAACAGAACTATAGATATTGTCACGCAAAGATTAACGGAAGCGTTTTATGTACAGCACGCATAGTTCATGGACGCCTCAGGTACAAGGTGTGCCGGATTTCAGTAAATATTTATTGATGCTAAACTCAGGTTTAATATGTTCCATTTCGCAATAAGATCACAATGAATTCAAGCAAGAAATAACAATAAAAATTCAGAAGTAAACACGTACACTGCACAGAGATTTCATCATGCATAATGCACGACGCCCCGCACTCAATATTCTTTATTGAGCTCCTTAGCTGTAAGTTTTTTAGCTTTCATTCGTTAAGGTTACTTTTCCTTCTTCTTTTTGATAATCTTGATGCATTTAATGAATTGTTTTTTCCATTTTTGCCGTAAAATCTTCTAAGATATCAATTTAATATTGAGAGCTAACTCCTGAAAATTAAGCAGTCAAGTCAAAGTTTCGTACGAACTCACTTTTCTGTTCAGGTTACATTACAAGGCTTCAAAACCGAAGAGTAACTCACCATCTACTGAAGGTCGTGAGCATAGTGGAAATACGTGGGCTTCACATGGGACGTCTCGGAATAACCAGCCCGAGGTATGATAAATAGTAGCACAGTTCGCACTCGTACCACCCGAAGGTTCCGTTGCCAAATTCACTCCAGCATTCTGAGGAACATATCTAATTAGAGGGAGCTGTTGAAAGTTTTTCGATCAATTGTATCACCTGAAGCACTCAATGCAATAGTTAGTCAGCTGTAATATTTATAGCGCTAACTACTGAATATAATAACACAATTAAGATTCCATACTACCCAAATATCAATTAAGGGTGATGTCCATTTCTTTTTCTAATCATTCCTTATTTTCCACAAAAATATTTTCGTCGAAAATCTTTCTAAGATTCCCTCTCTCAAAACGGAAATAATGTTTAATAAACTTCAGTATATATTAAAGCAAATAAAAAAAACTTTTAAAAACCACGTTTTCCTAACGGATGGACAAAAAAGAAAAACATTAACTCTTACATAACATTAAAGTTATGTAAAATGTTATGTAATGTTATGTGAGAGTAAATGTTTTTATTTTTTTTTTCGTAAATAAAACGTGATTTATAATTTTTTTTTTATTTCCTTGTTGTTAGTTTTGTAAACAGCAGAAAAACGTGGTTTTTGAAAATGTTTTTTTTACATTCATTTATTTTCTACTTTTTAGTTTCAATTTTAGCAATTCAAATCAATTTCCAGGGTTGGCAAGTCTGGATGTTCGACAAAAAAATTCGATTCCCAACAGTGAATTTTTAAAGTTTTTAAAAATTTGTTTAATAAAAATTTTTTTCTCAGTTATTACTTCTGATGATCAAATCTTGAATTGTTAGGCAGCATAAGCATGCATGCCAAATTTCAAGTTTTAGGATCTTCAGAAGAGCTCTAAATTAAGGTCTGAATTTTTGATGACAGACAGACACGAAGCGAAGCTAAGAAAAACGTGGTAATAAACGAAATTTCAGCTGCCGATTTCTGAAACATGATAACGTGTTCGAGTAAACAGGTGTTAATGGAACCATCTAATCAGCACAGTAATGACATTTATGAATAATAATTGTTGAAACTAAAAACTGCAAAACTTCAGTTAAATCTCTCAAAATGACTCGTTTGGTAAGTCCTCTCCGAATCTCCGATGCCTCAGCGGTAGAGGCTTGGTTTTGCGTGCGGGAGACTTGAGATCGATCCGAGCAGGCAGGGACTTTTCTCCAAGGCGATTTCTCACGAGTTTTGTTAATGGCACTGTGATTATTTGTTCTTGCTACATTTCCGACATTGTTGTTTGTACCGCCACGCTTGATTTATATACGCAATCTTCAAATGTTTGATTGTATTTGGAAGAAAAAGGAATGTCGAGCAATGTGAGAATGCACAAGCATTGGATTTAAAAATAACGGAAAATTTTATCGACCTAATTCGAGACGTGGTCATTGATGGCGCATCGATTAGTCATCGGCGCCAAGGGGTAAGTTATTGGTGGAAGAAGGGTTTTAAAGTTAAGGTCGCCATCAGCTGGATATAAGTGGAACATTGGCCGGACACGCCATCTATGTGCTCATCGATGTGATATACTCACGGTGGCCCAGTATGGACCGCCCATTTGCACGGCCGCTCCGTCACTCCACTGCCAAACATTGGTGAGCGTTCCATTGGTAGCGCCTAACCAGTAGCCGTTGTTGAAATCAGTTGTGTCTGAAGGAGTGCAACTTTGATAGTAATAGAAATATTATTATGTAATAGTCATATTAATTAATGTGGAGCTATTAGTGTTGATTAGAGCCTATTGGCCAGTTGCCAATTCTTAACTACCTGGCCACCTCCTCGAGTTGCTCATTTTTTGCACCACTAACCAGTAAAAACTTAGATCCGCCTCAGCTTCTGATTCCTCGAATCAGAAGCTGCAGCGCCTCTGAATTAGGTTAGGGTAGCAGCTGCTCGGTCACCCCAAGGCGAGTGGTACGGCCACCTGACATTTTCGGCTATCACACAGAAGCTGTGTGTTGTACACAGCGCCAATTGTGAGCGAATAAGTACTGCAGTAGAACATTAGTGTAGAATCAAATTCTTCCGCCCGCGGCTAACAGGGCATGCTAGCTTACCAAGTTTTAAAAATCAGCGAAGAGTCATGCACAGCGGTTGTCAAATGATAATAGAGTCATAATGATATTGCAAGAAAATTAATCAGAAGTCCTATTATAGATAAATTATGTTCGCTGAAATTCAGGTCCCACTAAACATCAATTTGATTGATAGAAAGAGACTTTCTTGTAACATTGACTTTTAACTTATGAGGGTCGACTTACAATGTTTCTAAGATGAAAAACATTTTGAAAGCAGAATTTTTAAACTCTGCAAGTTTATTGGCTTTAACATGGTCTTCTGTTATAACCTCACATCCATCGTTGACATAGGTGGTGACATCAAGGAAGGAAGCGCAGTCTTTAAGCACAGGCAGCCTGCCGAAGTGCTGGGTGCAGTAAGTGGCCGCTTCGTCGTACGTCAGATATCCACCCGTGTAACGGTGGATGCACTTGGACCCGACGACCTCATAGCCTTCAGGACAGTCGGCTGCGACAGCGCCTGCCATATGAGAATTAGAAATTGATAATACAATCAATTTGTCATGCGTAAATTATACGAAAAGTTTAACAATAGCAGCAAAGGACAACCAATGAAGGCTTTATCGTCATTCCATATCAAGTGAACCAAGAGTTCCCACCTGACCATTTTGATAAAGGATCTCCCATAATTTAGATCATATTTCAACCAAAATTAGGCCAAAATTTCAGCTGATAATACGAAAAACTTTTTAAATTATGGGCCCTCAAAGGAGAGGTGGTGAAAATGTCCCCGATGGCGCGTTGCAAAATCTCCAACTTCAGGTCAGTGCTGTGCTAGCCACTGCATGATTTGGAGATTAAGGTGTCTGTAGAACTCAAGAAGGTGTTTTAAAAAAAATTGGTTCAATAGTTTATTGTTAATACTTTTTTTGTATAATAAGGTCAAGCTTGTTCTTAAATCAAAGGAGCAGAAATAGTTCACAAGTTCAGTGCCCTGTATATCAGAGTAAAACGAATACAATATACTGTACAGGTATCTCCTTGATACCAGTTCGGTCTATTGTCAACATACGTAACATTATATACATAAAATACTGTCTCATAATTAACATGGGTTTTCAGTGAAAATCATCCTAACTTGCTAACAGAAGCCACAGAGCCATTTTTCAATGTTTGAATAGTTGCAGCATACCAATTTGGTTGAAAAAGCATTTATTACAAAGAGAAAATTCTGTACTAAAATGTACGCTAATTCTAGGTATGAGTAATAATAAATAATTATAATAAATAATTCTGGCGATGGGTAATAATAGTAATAAAATTAATTCCTCACAATTCAGTTAATAAAATTTCTCTTCATTGCCGTGGACTATGTTGCTGCCTGTGGCAGCTTTCCACTTTTGACACGAGTTTATCCACATGGATGAAATAAACAACTCAACCCAGCATTATATTAAATGACAATAAGTATTATTTATCTGGGAAATTTCCAGCAAATACGGAGGCAGAAAAACAGATGAGTTGATTTACGGAGTTGATTTTCAAAAATAGGGCAAGCCTATAGAATGCCCTTCCGAAATTGGAAAAAAATGAAATCCAGAATTAAAAAAATAAATAAATATTGAAAAAGAGAGCAGCAAATTCGTGTACGTCTCGCCACTAGCTAGCTGACCTGTCACATGCATGGGTATCTAAACACAGTATTCTACTGCCTTTTGAAGTGTAGAATCTAATTAAAAAAATTTCTCGTCATTCCAATGAGACAAATGCAGCATTTTTAAACTAAGTTTTCTTCCATAGCAAGAACACCATGGCTAGGATTGACATATATGTTATCTTACAAAATTCTCAGTTTCTAACAAAACTGCATCAACCAAATTAGTTTATTAGAACTTACTAATTTTCAGTTTAAACATTGTCGAAAACTTGCTCCGAGTCGTCTATTAGCAACTTTAGATGTGTATTACTGGAAAATCTAGTGTATGATCGGTCATTTGTTGTTTATACAATGTTACCTATGTTGGCAATAGACTGTACATGTATCACGAAGATTTTCCATTTTTTTTTATTTACAGGGCACAGAACTTGTTGATCTTTTCTGCACTTTTTATTTTCGGGCAAGTTTGGCCTTATTCTACCCAAAAATATCAACTATAAACTACTGATAAGAAATTTTTTAGACGCACCTCCACAAGTCCTGCCGACACTTTATTTTCAAATCAGGGGCCAGCACAGACATGCCACAGCAGTGACCTGAAGTTGGAGATTTGGCGCCGTGTGATCGCGGACATTTTCAACGCCCCTATTTGAGGGCCCTTAATTTCAATATTTTTTCATATTTCGAACTAAACTTTTTTAGAGTTGGTTTGAAACAGGATCAGCTGATGTGTAAACTTTCAACAAAATTGCTGATGGTCAGGTGTGACAGATTTTCAATCAAAATTGTGCACTTGACCTCGAATGACCCTTCACTAATTTTAAAAAAGATATATAAAACATTGTGAAAATTTTTGTTAAATCACTCAGACTTGTTGAATGATTTTTACTGGTTGCAATAATTTCACTGTTTGACACTTATTTCGCAGCCAATTGACTACACTGATAGTAATAATAATAAGCAGACACAAACAAAAGCTGGAACTACTTAGCAAAAGCTGACAGTTCTTCACCTAATGGTTGTTCTAATTCCTATGCAGAAGACACTCACCGATGATGAGCAGTAGCAAGCAGATGATCGTCGACGGAAACATCCGGGTGGTCGTAGGGTTGTATAACTCTAAATGAAACCTTTTATAAATTTAAAAACAACTAAAGGCAACAAGTTTATTAAGCCTCTTGAAGGGAAAGTATGTTCAGGAGAAATACCACCAAGTATGCAGTGCGTTGGTCTAATAAGTTACCTTATTTATAGTGTGCACAGCAGGCTGGTGTTTCTCACAGATTCACTGATTACGTGACAAGGTCGGGTATATTCTCATAGCTACAGCTATTCTAGGCGAGTGTTGTGAACGCAACATGTGCATCGGTTCGTACGTGGACTCGAAAATGGCAATATTTTCGAGAAACCTATTGATATGTTAGCTGTCCGAGAATATAAAATAAATAAATATAAATTTTTTTTAAAAACCACGTTTTCTGGTGGTTACAAAACTAAAAACAATGAAATAAATCAAATAAAAAATTTTTAAAAACCACGTTTTCTTAACGGACAAAAAAGAAAAGCATTAACTCTTACATAACATTAAAGTTATGTAGAATGTTACATATGCAATGCCATGTAAGAGTTAATGTTTTTCTTTTTCGTCCGTTGAGGAAACGTGGTTTTTAAAAGTTTTTTTTATTCGTTTTATTTCATTGTTTTTAATTCTGTAATCACCAGAAAAACGTGGTTTTTACAAATGGTTTTTATGTATATTTCATACTTTTTAGTTTAGAAATTTTAGCAATTCAAATCCTTTTCCAGGGTTGGCAACTCTGGATGTTCGACCAAAAAAATCGATTCCACACCGTGAATTTTTAAAGTTTTTTTAAGTAAAAAAATTAGAAAAAAAAACATTTTGAACATATTACTTCTGATGATCAAATCATGAATTGTTAGCCAGCGTAAGCATTCATGCCAAATTTCAAGTTTCCAGGATCTTTAGAAGTGCTCTAAATTAAGGTTTGACACGAAACGAAGAGAAGAAAAACGTGGTAACATAGATAACACCTAGCATCAGAAAACATGATACTGGAGTTATCTTGTTGTTAAGGGTTACGGTTCGTTAGCAGTCGGTGTGGCTGCAGAGAGAAATTCAAGAATTCATTTGCAAAAAAATTAACGGAATAATCAAACATGAATAATGATGAGTCTTGGTAGTTAAGGAATCAAAAATACAATACGAGGACGAGTGAATAATGGCGGGAGTATTGGTGCCACTTACATGAATAGAGCTTACGGGAGGAAAGTTTTAGCCCAATATAGTTCCGAACTGCAAAAACGGACCCGGTAAATGATGAAAACATATCAGAAAGACAGGCTAAAACTACGTATTTCACTTTGAATTACTTATTCCGGAATATAAGATGCAAGAAAAATAACATAAAAGTTCAAGTAGGTTATAACTCACCAGTCGAGTGTAGGTGAACGTGATCCGAGTATAATAACGAGTCTAGCGCGCTGAAGTTAACAAAGGGAGTGAAAAAAATGATATTTGACAAAGAAGAACATTCGCCCCTACAAGTGTGTAAGTCAGCTCATATTACAGAACTTAGCAAGGATATAAACTGGATCAATCTTGAATGAATGAACCATCCCGAAAATTTCATCCTAAAATTGTTTTTGACTCGTGTTTAGAACTGTCATCTTCTGACGTTCGATCATCAACCTTTATATTGCTGTGGGTTCACTCTAAAAATCAAGCCACTTGTATTCCACAAAGTCCACTTCAATTCCACTTTTAATATTTCAAGTTCAATCCCTAAACTTTCCTGAAAATTTAAACAATAAAACTAATCAATGAAATGCAAAAGATAATTTGGTTGCTAAAAGTGATAAAATATTTACAACAAAAATCATATTGAAACAGTATTCTAATTCAATCCATTCACAATAACATTTACACACGATAGTCACACTTAAAATCCTTCTCTAGTACAAGACACGTACCTCCATCACGTATGAACAGTCAGGTTGTCTATAAACCTTAAGTTTCAAAAAATGTCTCCAATTAAAACCTTAACATTATTTCAACATCAGGATTTTCAAGTTACTGTAAGGCGTAATTAATTTTTTTAGCGAACGCCTTTCTTCGACATCTTTCTGCTTTTTTATAGTATATAGCATGCTTTGAGTTCACATTTCTTTTCCATTGAAAGCGATTTACCGCAAATTTTCTTANCTTCTGTTAACGTCAATATGAATCCCGTAGATAAAAATGTCATTATAAAATCATCAGTAGTTGAAAAACATCGCTGAAGAGGGTTGATTTCAAATAGATAACTCCATCATCAAATAATTTACTAAATCCCAACTTGAATAAAAATTTAACTCATTTAAGGTAGCGTAAATTCATAAAATATCAATAGGTCGTACTGTCGATATAATGACAGATTTTCTTATACACGGCACGAGCACCGGGCAACACTGTTACTCCATTCTATGAGGCCGAAATTTTACCTGTCACTCTATCTTATATTTTGTGTGTCAAGATGACCCATGCAGGTGTAAAAATTAGATCAGTACTCACTGCAGTGAGTGACTGAGAGCGCATTTTCTTACATTGGTCCGTCCGTGAAATCACAGATGGACGGACGGACATGACGAGCACAATAGTTCCATTTTTTCCATAAATGAGAAAATGCGCTAAAAATGTCATCGCTATTTATTGGACAAGCACTCACTAATTTCTTAAACTGTAAAAGCCATAAAGAAACTTTGCGTCATTGCAGCGTTGTTACCTGAGGAGATATTAAGGTTTCGAAATCCATTCTTGTTTAATAGTAAAACTTGTTCATTACACTTTCCGCCGTTTTCATTCCGCGAAACTAATTGAAAATGACGGAATTATTTTGAATGAACTCCCTTATGTTTGAATTTGAATGAACAATTTACAAAGTTGTTTGTATTGGAGTTCACTTGTTTATATTGGAAGCCACTTCGTTAGATTTAGATGACATCATAAGATGAAATAAATTGAAATTCTTCACGATGATATAAACGAGATTTAGAGTCTCTACGACAAGAGTAATATATCAATATATATTATTTAATATACTATAGACATATATTAAATATAGATATAAATAAGTAGATAGGACAGTATTTTTATTAGTAGGGCAACATGGGGCAGCGCGCCCTCCTCTTTTTTTAAACTAAATTTTTGTTGAAGTTTTAATTGATACGAGGTGGTTCTTTGTTTTGTTTTGATGTACAACTAATGAGGAATGTATGATGTGAATTAGACGCCTATAGAGTTATTCAATTTTTAATGAAATACTATTTTGTAAAAAAGGTCAAAATGGGTCCATTGCCCCACCCCTGGGGCAATGGGCCTATGGGCTTGGGGCAAGGCGCCCACCCTTGGTCCCTTTACCACAATTGCATATTTTTCGTTTAAAAATGATAGAACAGCACTTTAAAGTAAAAATAAGAAAAATGTAATAAAAAATATGGCATTCATTCATTTATTAACAACTCAAAAAATCATATCCTTAACTTGAAAAAATATACTCTTGGCTTGAAAAATCTATCACTGACGTGAAGAAAAATATTTCATTGACATAAAAATATATATCCTTGACTTGAAAAATATATCCTTGCGGTAAAAAATTCGTCCTTGACATGAAAAAATTTATCCTTGGCAAGAAAAAATATATTTAGTTGATCAGAAAAAAAACTTCGTTCCAGTTTCGTCCAAAATCCAGATATTCTGTCCAGAGAATTCGTACCTAATCATGATTTCAGCCAACACCATAAAAAAACTCATCAACTTTTGGCTCATTGTTGTTGACTGAAATCAACTTTCAGTCAAATTAGGAATTATAAGGATATTATAAAGTAATACTATTAATTATAATTATTAATGTGCTGAATATTTAATGTGATGAACTGTGTATTAACGTGTTTTAATGGTGTAACTGTACGGGTACCAACAACACGTACACTAGTCCAACTTTCACCCTTTACTTCAAATTATGATATTTAATCCAAAATTTTGCTCTCTAATCCCAAATTTTTTCCTCAAAACTGAATTTTCCCACTCAAATTAAAAATTATTACTTATAATTTAAAATTTAACCCTCTAATCCGAAATTTTCATTAAAATCCAATATTTTGCCTTCTAATCCCAAAAACTTTTCCTCAAAACTGAATTTTCCCGCTCTAATCAAAATTTATTACTTATACAAATCCAAAATTTTACCTCTAACCCAAAATTTTAGTCTCTAATCTCAAAATTTTAGTCCGTAATCCTAAAATTTTCTCCTTAAAACTGAATTTTCCCACTCTTATGAAAAATTATTACTTATAATGCAATATTTTACCCTCTAATCCGAAATTTTCATTAAAATCCAAAATTTTGCCCTCTAATCCAAAAAATTTTCTTTTTTATTACAAAATTTCCTCAAAGTAGCACGAGACCAGTAGCACGGTAAATATACGATGCAAGTAGCACGGTAAGCAATGACCAAAAACTTAATATATCATATGTAGTGGCCACCAATACATTCAATGAAACTGTCTTTCTCAACTTCAACGCTAGACTCATTATTAGACTTTGATCCTACTTTCGACTGGTGAGTCTTATTAGCCACTTGAACTTTTTATGTTTTTTTTGTTGCATCTTACGTTTTAGAATAAGTAATTTTGAAAAATAAGTATTTTATAATAAATAAAATAAGTATTTTAGAATAAGAAGGTAAGTGAAATACAGCTTTAGCCTGTCTTACTCATCTGTTAATCATTTACCAGGTCCGTTTTTGCAGGTCGGAACTATATTGGGCTAAAACTTTCCTCCCGTAAGCTCTATTCATGTAAGCGGCACCAATACTCCCGCCATTATTCACTCGTCTTTGTATTGTATTTTTGATTCCTTAACTACAAAGTTTCATCATTGTTCCTGTTTCATTATTCAGTTAATTTTTTAACAAATGAATTCCTGAATTTCTCCCTGCAGCCACACCGACTGCTAACGAACCGTAACCCTTAACAACAAGATAACTCTAGTATCATGTTTTTATTGTTTGTTTTTAAATTTACAAAAGGTTTGATTTAGAGTTATACAACCCTAGGACCACCCTGATGTTTCCGTCGACGATCATCTGCTTGCTACTGCTCATCATCGGTGAGTGTCTTCTGCATAGGAATTAGAACAACCATTAGGTGAAGAACTGTCAGCTTTTGCTAAGTAGCTCCAGCTTTTCTTAGTGTCTGTCTATTTTTATTTATAAGAGTGTTGTCAATTGGCAGAGAAATAATTGTCAAACCGCGACATTAATGAAATCAGTAAAAATCATTCAATAACTCTGGATGATTTTTTTTCATATTAGTAAAGGGTCATTCGATGTCAAGTGCACAATTTTGATGAAATTTCACACACAAGTTGGATCTTTTTTCAAACCAACTCTGAAAAAAAAACTCCAGCTCCAAATATGAAAAACTTGATATGTTCGCACGGCGCCAAATCTCCAACTTCAGGTCACTGCTGTGGCATGTCTGTGCTGGCCTCGAGTGAGGTGGCCGCAGGACTTGAAGAGGTGCTTCTAAAAAAATATCAATGGTTAATTGTTGATATTTTTGGGTAGAATATGGTCAAACTTGCCCGGAAATCATAAGTGCAGAAAAAATTCGCAAGTTCAGTGTCCTCTATATCACAGGAAAATATATAAATCTCCACGTCATCTGTACAGTCTATTGCGAACATCCGTAACATCGTATACGCAAAAAATGATTGATAGAATGTATGCATTGTATACATTGTAAATGAAAAATGATCTAATTCGCTTTGATTTTTCAGTAATCATCAAAAATTGCTAATAGAAGCCTCGGAGCAAATTTTAGACAATGTTTAAATACAAACTTAAATAGTTCTATTAAACTAATTTGGTTGAAACAATTTTTTTAGAAACATAAAATTTTATACCATAGCATATATGTTAATCATAGCCATGTTGTTCTTTTTGCTATGGAAGAAAACTTAGTTTAAAAATGCTGCATTTGCCTCATTATTGCACCTCGTTGGAATGATGAGAAATTCTTTTGAATTAGATTCTACAGTGCAAAAGGCAGTAGAATACTATGATTAGATACCCATGCATGTGGCAGCTCAGTGGCGAAATATACATGAATTTGCTGCTTTCTTTTTCGCTATATATTTTTTCAATTTTGGAAGGGCATACTTTTTCCAAGAGGCTTCCTCTATTTTTGAAAGTCAACTCATTTGCTTTCATACCTCTTTATATGTTGGAAATCTCCAAGTTCATTAATGTTTATTCTCATTTAATATAATCCAGAGTCGAGTCGTTTCTTTCATCCAGGTGAATAAGCACGTGTCAAAAGTGAAAAGCTGCCACAGGCAGCAACATAGTCCACAGGAATGAAGAAGACTGGATTTTAATACAATTATTACCCATAGCTAGAATTACTCGTTTTTACTTATTACCCATAGCTAGAGTTAGCGTATGCTGTAGTACAGAATTTTCCTTTTGTAATAAATGCTGTTTCAAAAAAAAATTGGTATACTGCAACTATTCAAACATTGTCGAAAAAAGGCTCTGAGGCTTTTATTAGCAAGTTAGGATGAAATTCACTGAAAAACCAGAGTGAATTATTAGTCAATATTTTATGCATACAATGTAACGTATGTTGGCAATAAACTGTACAGGTATCATGGAGATTTATCGATTTTCCAATGATATACAGGGCACTGAACTTGTGAATTGTTTCTGCTCCTTTGATTTCCGAGCAAGCTTGCATGACCTTATTACACACAAAATCTATCAACAATAAACTACTGAAATTTTTTTTATAAGCATCTTCTTGATCTCTGCAGACACCTTAACTTCCAAATTAGTGGCTAGCACAGCAGTGACCTGAAATTGGAGATTTTGAACCGCGCGATCGGGGACATTTTCACCCTTTTCACATTTTCAGCTGAAATTTGGGCCAATTCATGTTGAAATATGAACTAAAATATGTCTGATCCTTTATCAAAATGGTCAGGTGGTTACTCTTAGTTCACTTGACATGGAATGACCCTAAAGACTTCATTGGTTGTCCTATGCTCCTCTCGTTAAAGTTTTCGTATAATTTACGCATGACAAATCGATTGTATTATCAACTTCGAATTCTCATATGGCAGGCGCTGTCGCAGCCGACTGTCCTGAAGGCTATGAGGTCGTCGGGTCCATGTGCATCCACCGTTACACGGGCGGATATCTGACGTACGACGAAGCGGCCACTTACTGCACCCAGCACTTCGGCAGGCTGCCTGTGCTTAAAGACTGCGCTTCCTTCACTGATGTCACCTCCTATGTCAACGATGGATGTAAGGTTATAACGGAAAACCATGTTAAAGTCAATAAACTTGCAGAGTTTAAAAATTCTGCTTTCAAAATGTTTTTCATCTTAGAAACATTGTAAGTCGACCCTCATAAGTTAAAAGTCAATGTTACAAGAAAGTCTCTTTCTATCAATCAAATTGATGTTTAGTGGGACCTGAATTTCAGCGAACATAATTCATCAATAATAGGACTTCTGATTAATTTTCTTGCTATATCATTATGACTCTATTATCGTTAGACAAACGCTGTGCATGACTCTTCACTGATTTTTAAAACTTGGTAAGCTAGCATGCCCTGTTAGCCGCGGGCGGAAGAATTTGATTCTACACTAATGTTCTACTGCAGTACTTATTCGCTCACAATTGGCTCTGTGCACAACACACAGCTTCTGTGTGATAGCCGAAAATGTCAGGTGTCCGTACCACTCGCCTTGGGGTGACCGAGCAGCTGCTACCCTAACCAAATTCAGAGGCGCTGCAGCTTCTGATTCGAGGAATCAGAAGCTGAGGCGAATCTAAGTTTTTACTGGGTAGTGGTGCAAAAGATGAGCAACTCGAGGAGGTGGCCAGGTAGTTAAGAATCGGCGACTGGCCAATAGGCTCTAATCAACACTAATAGCTCCATATTAAAGAATATTATTATTACATAATAATATTATGTAATAATATTATTATTACATAATAATATTTCAATTACTATCAAAGTTGCACTCCTTCAGACACAACTGATTTCAACAACGGCTACTGGTTAGGCGCTACCAATGGAACGCTCACCAATGTTTGGCAGTGGAGTGACGGAGCGGCCGTGCAAATGGGCGGTCCATACTGGGCCACCGTGAGTATATCAATGTTTTTTCTGTACATGACACAACATACTTGCTAAAAGGAAAAATATTCATTATGAAATTGTAAATGGATGAAGCTAAACTAAGTCACGACTAGATGCAATAGGATTAGACTGGATGCAATAGGATTGAACATTAAAATATAAAAAGCAGTATCATAATGTTTAAGTGAATTTACCTATAATTAACTGAAACAGACAGTGAAGTCCTGGGTGTCTCTTACAAAAAGCCACTTTCAATTCCCCTGTTAGAAATAACATTTATTTGCAGTCGTAATTCCACGAAGATTTATTAAACAAATCGTTATTCTCACTCATCTTATGTTTGTGTTTGATTACACATTCCCAAATAAAAA